CAAAGAGAGGCTGAAGCTGAATTGGTTGGTGTCAAAGATATATAGAGATCCATATCCACCTCCGCTCTTGATCTCATCTCTGTTTATCTACAAATGCGGTTGGATGACACCATTATTTACTGTGGGCAGAGAGGAGAGGTGCAGAGGATGCTGCGTCAAAAATAATAACAGCGTAGAAGTTGGCTGTCTGGGGTAATTTCTCTCTGTCAAACCCCCCTCGAAGATCCTCATGTAGATACTGAAGTTGAGGCATGAAGGTGCTTTCTTCTCTCGTCTCTACTTCCTTCCGGAGCTGTGAATATCAGACACCTTTCTCATAACCGCTCACTTAACACACTGAAAATGCACAAATCAAGTGCAATTTTACTGCTTTTTCACTCACAGGTTTTCCACGTGAGAGGAAGAAAAAAAATAACTTCTCAATCAGTGAAAACAGGATAATCCTACAGTTTAAAGTCTTACCTTAAATACACATGTCTACGGTCACATGCGCACCAGACGAAAACACCCCTATCCTCTGTTATTATTGCACTAACACCTAGTGCTTTTTTTTTTCTGGCTCTTCCACATGTACACAGGCGTACACGCGGGACATAAATGCTGGCACACACACACATGCACATAAAGCGTTCGGGGGACTGACACGTGCACGTCAATCCTCAGAAATAAGAGTGGAAACCAATTAGTCGATGTTACGCCAGAGATCAGCTGTGGAATGCAAACAGGGGCGACGTGAATGAGAGATGGGGAATCAAGATTGAAATATTTTCCATCGTGTTTTTTTCTCTCTTTTTTTTTTCTAAGAAGTCAGCTCTGGTTAAATGGTTAACCTGAAGCTTAGGGTTGGCATTCCTTGACCGGGAGGAGGTGGTTTGGTTGATGGTCGTGGGGAGACTATTGTCATTCAGAGCCGCTGCCCTTGCACACACATGTTGCTAAAACCATCGTTGCCATCCCCCTTACTGCTGCCACCATTCAGAGGAATGCAAATGCTGGAGCATGTTGGAAGGTTTACATTTCAATAAGAAAAAAACAAACCTCTCTTCCTTTGTGTGAACCGATGGCCGCTTGTGCAGGCAGGTCAATACAATGTGCACCGGTCAGTGGAGATGCAAATGTCTCGTAGATGTAAACAAGTGAGTACAGATGTGCGAATGAATCTGCTATTCAGAGTTATCCTTGCGTGTAAAATCCTGCATGAAAACAGAAGAGGTGAACACCCAGGCATTCATTGCATTAGCTTTAAAAACTGCCCACGACAGCAGAGCTCACTGCAAAAATAATCCTAATAAATCACCTTTGCAAACAATGATTAAAGGCAATGAGAATGATAAGCATCTGTCATGATGCTGATAAACACATGGCCGTGGTTCATAAGGTTTCCCCTCAGGGAAGCATCTAAACTGCCCTGTGTTTCTCTGATATCCCAAATGACCCTTCTTTATGGGCTCAGGCCCCGGGGCAAGTGGTGTCCCCGTGTGCCTCCTCTCAGCTCAGCTGTAAAAGGTGAGGCCACCTCGGGAAATCATTCCTCACTTCTACGTCAAGGAGGACATCCTTCTCCTTCTCCTCCTCCAGAGTTTACCTGCCCCGTGCCCCCTCCAACCCCAATTAACGCCACATTCCTTTGTCGGTAGTGAATACCCTGAATTCCCCCTGACAATTGCCCACACCCTTGCTAGAAGATTACCCCCCATTTTAGCCTCTCTAACCATCTATTGTCACCTCTGTGTGAGGGACACTCTGATCCCTTGGTCGGGCCTTGTTCTGCTCTGCTGCCATTAATTCACCTCCAACTATCCCTCAGGGAAAGTGAAGGCAACACCGGCCTACAGGCACGACTACACTCTGAAAAAAAATTACAAGGCCATTTTGCAAATTGTTTCCTTTTCATTCTACAGCTTTTTCAGAATATGTTTTTTAATATAAGAAAATATCAACAAAAAAAGAAAAAAAGACTTCAAATTTACATGTCTAATGTAAAGTAACATAAAAAAATTTGTAACTGGGGAATAAAAATAAATCAGATTATTTTTAAATGTAAAAAAACTATAAACAGAATTCACAATTTGCCAAATTTTTACACAATTATTTGATAGATACAATGTTAAATTCAAGTTTAATAGTGTAATCAAGTTTAAAACTGTAAATATTTTTCAAAATTTTTATACATTGGTGACAATTAAAAGAAAAAGAGCTATTGGTTCTGTAGTTTTACATAAATTTGTTTGTGAATCTTGTAAAATTACAGAAGCAGTAACAATTGAAATGTAAAAAGGAGCAACAAGGTACATTTGTCATAAAAAAAACCTGTTAAAGGTGGTTCTGTTGACAACCTCCTGCTCTGAACGCTGCTGTGAGTCACTTTTCATTTCTAGGTCTCTCTCTTTTTTTTTTTTTTTTTAAATCAAAAGAGAGAATCCTTGTCCTCCATTAGGATGGCAGGTAAAAAAAAAATAAACCCCCCACAAACATTCTCTTTTTATTATGTCATGTCATAATTAGCCTCCTGGCCCGGTTGCTGGAGGACGGATCAACCAACAAGCCTTTTATCTTTCTGTATTACAAATATGCTGCTGTGTGGCCTCAAATTACCAAACGGTGACACCTCGCTCACTTTTAAAAAAAAAGCCAGGAGATTGAGGTTAATGTGTGGAAAAAATAACCATGAGCAAACCTCAGAGAACTCCGTTTACATGTCATCAAATGCAAGAATGTACAGTGTTTACGCACTATTAGCTAGAAAACAGGGCGTACTGATAAACACTGTCGGGGTGGAGCTCACTGCTCCGGCTGTGATGTGGTTAGAAGAACAGCTGTGTGTTTGCATGTGTGCACACCCAGAAACTGCCTGTGAATCCTGGCCACCAATTTCATATTTCAGCGCGGCCGCCTGTCATCAGCGCTCTTATCAAAAATACATACCAGACCGTAATCACAGGAGGACTGGATGCCAAAATACCTCAGAGCACATGAGCACAAATGAAAGATGGGAGAGGAGGCAGAGGGAGGGGAGGAGGAGGCGCGTGGGGGATGTGACACAGGAGGCAAAAGAAAGTGGGACAAAGAGATAATATGGGTTAAAGCAGAGCAGAGAAGAATATATACAAATATAAACTTCTAAAAATACACCAGTTTTGACTGCTTTGGTCCCCTGTTGGGTTTCATACAGCAGAGATGTTTGCATGAGTTCTTGTGAGGTATGTGTATGTGTGTGTGTGAGTGTGTGTGTAAATGTGAGTGTGTGTGGGGGGTGTATTTGTGCAACATCAGCAGCCATTAACCCCCTGTGTGGACCAGCCACAGGTTTAGAGGCATGTCTGAACAAGGCCAAAGCACAAAACTGCAGCACAACAGGATCCATGTGCATCCAAGAAACACGAGAATTAAAAAAGTGGGGAAGAAAGTTTTCTAAGTTGAATTTCAAGGATATTTATGACAAATGCTGAGTGCTGTCAAACACAGGCAGCGTATTTCCTGTGAATACTGGGAGGATACATTACAGGAATGAGGAATGAAAGTCCAAACTCAGGAAATCTGGTCATCAAACACTTGATTTCTTCTATTCTGGTGAATCTCAATGAGCCAGTTTGTTCCTTTTCTGCACCGATTTATGGTGGAAATTTCTTTCTTCATGTCACAGAAAACACAAAAATAAGGCAACATTTAAAATGTTGCAGAACATATATGTTTTCCCAAATAGATTTTCAGACTTTGACAGTAAAAAAAAGGTCCAGTGCAGAAGAACAAAAAACAAACCGGCCCTGTCTGAGGCATTGTTTGTTCTAAAAAGGAACAGTCTTCTGATTATTTCATGTTTGTAATAGGAAGATGGATGCACGTGTTTCAGAAAACTGAAAAGAAAACTTTTTTTTTTTGCCAGAACCTTGAAGTAGAACAAACAAAACTGTGTCAGTCTATGAGAAATTGACAAAAAATGGTGAAAGAAAGCGAAAATAGCAAATCACTCATGTGAATGAAATGCTCCCTACATCAGAACTTATTCAGAAAAGGTGTTTCCATCTCCCATAATGCACATTTACTCATTTTTATAAAGGCAAAAACCAACCCAAGCAAGTACAACACATTTTTTAAATTAATTTAAGAACTTTAAACTTTTTTTTGCCATTTCCATTGACTTATTTTAATGCGATCTTTTAAAATGTGCATGTTAAAGAAATGTACCTATTGATCTCTCTATTACTAATGTAGTGGTTTTACAAAATAAAAATCTTATTTTTTTCATTTCTTTATGGTGGGGATAACAAATACTGTACATATATTGAATTCCTCTCATATTCACTGTTCATACTGTGTAGACTCTTAATACTGTTAAAACTCTGCCTACTCTACCTTATCCTGTTGATGCTGTTCACTGCCTGTGTATGCAGATGTATCCTCAGCTACAATATTTATATACTTCATCTGTTCGTTCCACTCTGCTGCTCTGCTATATATACTGTAACATTCCGTGTATGCCTCTGAATGAATATATTGCTGCTGCTTTTTCTCTTCAGTTTTGCTGCTGAGCTGCACTTCACTGTCTCAGTGCTCTGTGCAGTGACAACAAAGTGGAATTCAATGTAATCTAAAAATCTAAAACTCAGGTGTTGTAAATATTAAGGGGGGAATTATCCCTGTCTCCCCCTGGATAAAGATCTTCGCCCCTGCTGTCATGATCCTCCACCACAGATTTATTTGTTTTTTTAAATTGTGGCATTTAAATTCTTCTCCGCTGCAGTATAAACTCTGACAAATTCAAGTCACATCACTGTAACTGAGACTTTTTCCTCGCTTCTCTCGAAAGAAAGGCTGTTTTGTGAGGGCTCCCAGCCGGAGGTCCCACCTGTTTGCAGCAGCAGCAGCTTCTCCTCCGTGTAACTTGCAGATCCACGTGTGGGCGGGGGAGCACGAGTGGGAGGAGGAGGGGGGAGCAGCAGCCAATCAGATGCGAGCGCCTCTGCTGCGCTATAAAGCCTCGGTGCGCTCCTCAGCCGCAGTATTCATCCTCAGAGAGACGCTCCTGCCTCGTCCAGTCCACACAGGGGTTGATTTCTGTTACTTACAAGCACCGAACCACTTTGAGAAGCAAACAGGATTAACTTCAGCCGCTTTGACTGAAAGATTTGGACGATTTTGTTGCTTTTCTTCTTGTTGTTTTTGGAGACAAAATGCGCCTCATCCAGAACATGAGCACCATTGCGGAGTATCCAGCACCTGAATACTCGGTGCCCAACCGGGTCATTAAAATAGCTGTGATAGGAGGCAGCGGAGTGGGAAAAACAGGTAAGAACACGATCAAATTGCATGTCTTGTACTTAACTTTTAATTGAATGTAACTTCTCGACCATTGCGCGCGTAAATGTCCTAACATTCTGTTTTTACTTTTTCTTTTAGCACTCGTGGTGAGATTCTTAACAAGGCGCTTCATTGGAGACTATGAGAGAAATGCTGGTAAGTTAAAATCAATTGTGCTTGTGTGAATGAAACTGCCTTACTATCAGAGTAAATGGTATTAAAGGTTGTTGTTCCTCCATGTGTGCAGGTAATCTCTACTCCAGAGAAGTCCAGGTAGATGGAGAGCAAGTGATCATCCAGGTTCAGGACACTCCTGGTGTGGAGGTAGGATTATTCTCCTCTTCTCACTCAGAAATTATTATTCTTTTCATTAATGCTGACTGAGAGCTGACACAAGCAAATCTGTTAAAGAGCTGAAGATAATCCAGTGCAAAGATAATAGAATCTAATTCTCTGTCTGGATGTTCAAATCATTCTCTTCACTGGGCTCGGCTCCAAAACCAAACATGTGTGTATATATATTTTTCCCTCCCTGAAGTAGAGCCCTTCATTCTGGCTGTCTAATCTCCCATTTAGGCTAATGGATGTCTGGGGCCACGGTAAATGATACCCTGATGCAGATCCAGACTCCTCAATCACCCACACCTCTCTGTTCTGCAGCAGTAATCCTATAGCTCCAGTCTGCCTCAGTCAGCATTCCAGTCGCGACAGAAAAGATCAGTTAGTCGCATAAAGCCAGGAAATGTTTAATCTGCTATGAATTCAGTTTTTTTAATCATCCTGTCTTTTTCTGTCCTTCCCAGATGACTGATAATGGTATCGGCCTGCCTGACCATGTGACCTGCTCCGTGCAGTGGGCTGATGCAGTGGTGTTGGTGTACTCGGTGACGGACCGTCGCAGCTTCGACTTGATTGATCAACTGCACCAGGTGGTCGCCCGTACCGGCGGAGCCAACGTGCCTCCGGTGATCCTTCTGGCCAACAAGGCCGACCTGCTGCACCTGAGGAGGGTCGACTCCCAGCAGGGCCCCTTGCTGGCGGGAACTCTGGGCTGCTCCTTCTATGAGGTGTCAGCCAGTGAGGACTACAACCAGGTGCACGGTGCCTTCCACAGGTTGTGCTGCCAGCTGGCCAAGCAGCCGCCGCCCGCCTCCAGCTCCTCGCAAACCTCCGCCAGTGGTGCCACGGAGAAGAGGCGCTCGCCTCTCATCCCCAGGCCAAAGTCTCCCAACATGCAAGACCTGAAGAGGCGCTTCAAGCAGGCGCTGTCGGCCAAAGTCAGGACTGTCACCTCGGTGTGAGGAGGAAGAGGAAAGAAGAAGCTGGTCCAGAGTAGGCCACAGAAAGAATGAAAGCATTGAAGGTGGAAAAGAGAACGGAGAAGATTCACACTTCTCCAGTTGTGTCCTGTAGCAGCCTGCCTGAGGACGGCAGGTATGGGGTGAACAGTGGGAGCTTGTGTACAGCGGGGGGAGGGGGGAGGAGGACGGACGACAACGACCTGAAGGTGGGCATGAGTCTGTCCTGTCAGATAATGTGTGAAGAGAAGCAGTGAGGAGGTTCATCTTCTGCTCAGGGTGAAGAAAAGAACACCTGAGGATACAGGAGCAGCTGACCAAGGCTGTCTGAATCACAAACTCTGTGTTTAAAAAAGAAACTGTAAATCAAGCTCTCCTGGCAACAGCAGTGTTGAAGGACTGCTTATTTTTAGCTGTACTGCCCATTGTGGTGGCTCTTTATTCATGGCTCTGCTAAATGCTGCCATTATTGCACCAACCACTAAAGCCAGGGCTCTGTGCAGCCACGTGTGTGTGCTCATTCTTTTTTTTTTTTTGTCAATATCTGCAGTTTTTGTATTTTTTGCAGCTTTTAGAACCTTGACATGATGTGATGAGGGGCGGGGCAGCAGTATGTAGCATGCGTTGGTTATTATCACTGATGCACTTTATATATTAAAAAGAAAAAAAAGGAAAACTCCAAAGGGCCTGTTGTTATTTATTTGTTATACATTGACTTTTGTGCACAATAAAATGATGAGTTTGAACTGAAAAGTCTCAGCAGTTTCTTTAAATGGACATTCTTGAGTGTTTATTGCAGATTTTCTGGAGTCATTGCCGGAAAATTAGTCATGAATATTTTTTTTTGTGCTGTATTTTTGAATCTGCAGCTTTTCAAAACTTTCTGAGTCTACGCGATGTCCTTGGCTCTGATAAATATCACTGTGAAGGAGATGACGCACACAGAAAAAGGTAGCCTGACCCACGAATAAACCAGTTCTTATAAAAAGGCTTTGATAGCAGAATAACGATGAATAGCACAAAGACAATACAAGCATGACTGAGCTGTTGAGGTAACCGGAGCCGGCAGTCGCCGTGGGAGAGTTCAAGTTAGTTTTCTCAGAGCCGACCTTGTTTTATTAGGGACTCCTCTGAGAACTGTGAAGATGAGGAGAAAATTATATTTTCCAATAAAAGCCTGAATGCATGTGCTTAATTACATTAGAGACTTGTTTATTTGCAAGTCTCATTAGTGAACCCTGAATATCGTGTTCCAGCCTGTTAGGGGAGCCACAAAACACCGGATTTGCCGGATATCGGCTCTCTGTGTTGGACAATATGAGGGAGACTTGCGTTATTCATGGTAGCAGGTGTGTAGGTGGGTGAAATCACTGAGCTCTTGCTGAGGTGATTCATGTTGGCGAGAATAAAGAGAGTAGGGTGGGCCGGAGGGTGTAGGTGAGTTCTAGGTGTGAGCGAATAATTGGCCTTAGCAGACAGTGTGAAACGTTTTGTTAATTATTCTGCTCTTATTTGTCACAATGCGATATTGCGAGGTGTTGGAGCAAACACAGAGTGTATTCTCTCCGACACAGCAGCAGCAGCATGCCGTCTTCTGTTCACACCTTCACTTGCAATGACTTCACACATATGGCCTGCTTTAAACGCAGCTTGGCCGGCTAACAACTGAGCCTCGTGTACGCAAACACACAAAAAAACATCACATGTGGGTCTCTGAATAGAAACTGATTTTATTAACATTTGATGAAGGCTGTAGCTGTTGGAATTTTACACCTTCTGCTTTGAAAAGCGGCTTTTGGACAGATTTTACTTATTGAAACTGACATAAACAAGATAGGAATGTTGCTTCATTTGCACATCATCTCCTTAATTCTCCCTTTACGGCTTCAAACACAATCGAATTCATCAAGCGCCGACTCCCGCCCGTTCGTTAAGACGTTTGTGGCGCATGTGTTCGTCCACGTGCTTGCGCCTGCTTCTCCCACGTGACAGCCTTTTCAGACGCCGATATCGGGCGCCAGTCTTTGGGTGCTGAACAGCAGCTCTGGGATATCCGTCGGCTTCAGTAATCGGGTGGAGAGAACCAGCACCTGGAGCGGAGCACAACACATTCATTAAGGTTAAAATGTGCCATGTGTGTAACCCGGCACTAATAAACGAAGCAGACACGGATGTCACAGTGTGTAATGTGCAAATTGGCATTCAACAGGGCGCATTAATCAGGTGCCTTGGCTCCTCTTTTGTAATTTGATTTTAATTACTTCTGCTAAGAAGGTTATGCTTTGTGCGTTGTTTGTTCTTCTTTTATTTTTATTTTTAGATCTTAAAAATGACCCCCCAACCAAATTGTACCTTTTGAATAAAACCGTGAGAAGGTGGTCATTTGTGAAAAAGCAGACGGGGGGGAAAAATGTGACTGTTTGGAACAACTTTAAAAAGGAGTCCTGAGCACGTGCATTCTCAACAAACATGTGAAAGTGACTCGGATGTTTATTTAGACGGGGCCCTGACATGTAGCATTGCCGTCACATTTACATGATAAGGTGCGTGTTTGAAAGAAGCTTTAGAATTCACTGGAACCACCTGGGTGTCAAGCTGTGCAGGTTTTATTCTATGCAAAGAAGAAAACTAGCAGCACAGATGTTTTCCTCTCACCAGTGAAAAGCAGAAAGCCAGGCAATATTTGGATGATAGAATGATGATAGAATCTTAGTGTGGATCCAGGAAGACATTTGGATCTTTCCTTGACATAATGTTTTACAATTTTGCATATTGTATAACAAACTGGAAGACACAAAAACTATGAAATAACACAAATGGAATGATGTCGTGAACAAAAAAACAAAAAACAAATGAGTCCCCAAAAGCGTAATGTCCATTCTTTGAAGTTCTTGGCCGTCTCCTCAGAACAGCTGGTGTTGAGACGAATTTGCTGCTTGGATTCTGGGATTTGGGCTCTAATCTGAGGTGTGTCAGTTGTTTATTTCTGAACTTTAACAAACTTTTCCTCTGCAGAACAGTTAAAGGCCAATTCATGGTTTCCACATCCCCATTCCCAGACTGATGCAGACTGTGATACCGAACAGTGGACACGAAAACAGCTCTGTTCGTATTACAACAGGTTTGGCCTCTTATCTTACACAGGACTACACACAGGACTCCCGTGGACATTTCTGAAAGGCTCACTGGGACTTTTCACGTTGTACAGGATAGAACAGTTAATTACAGTTTGGGATGTGTCACCATGCCAATCTGAGGATCCTTAAGGTGTGCCAGTCATAGTGGACGGACACAGCGTGGGATCTCTGGAGAAGTTAGGCACCACTGATGGAGAGCAAATCAAAGCACCTCCAGAGTACTTAAATTACGACTCTTGTGAAAATGAATTGTATAAGATGTGGGTGATGGAGAATCCTCAGGTACAGGCTCTCCTCGTTACAAGCATTTGCTGTGAGCACATCTTGTCCTTTTGACTCATGGGTAGTTGGGGTGATGGCAGTACGTACATGGTCACAGTTTTTGGGCTGGATGCAGACGTCTGCAGTGGGGTCCGCACAGACCCTTGTTGACTTGGGCTGATAGCGAAATGTACATAAACTGGACCCATGCACATGTGGGGATGTGAAGAGCATGAAATGGCCCTAACTTCCTGTGGCAGCCCTCATAAGAACCTGCTTCGCCACAGCGTTTGAGGACTTTTGTGACTGAACTTGAAGACGCTTTCAAAGCTTTTGACATTTTCTTGACTGGCTGACTTTTATGTGTGAAAGAAATGACGGGCTGTTCCTCTTTACAGAGTTGAGTGGTACAATATAGCTGATAGTGTCAAATGCATACAGAAGGCTACAAATTCCACCAAGTCTTTTTTGACGAGGCTAATCGAACGAGGCTTTCTTATGAAGCTGGTTAAGATATTGCCAATAATTCACAATTTAGCACACTGGCAACTTTGAAAATCTAATATGAAACATGCTTTGGTTCTGTAGCTTTTTTATTTCATACTGCATTTCGTACTGTACATCCCATTATGTGTAAATGTGTATTTTGACACCAATATAGACGTAAACAGAAAACACAATTTATCAATGACAGCAGAACATGACTGCAGAGCTGTAGCTGATGTATGCACTCCCATAGTGCTGCAGTCAGAATAAGAACTACAGTCCTATTATGTTGTATAACAGAGAAGCTCTGTTTCTCTGCAGCAGTGTTGCTTTAACTCCCGGTCAGCACCTAAAATTGGCAACGGGCCTGTTTGCAGTGGCAGAGTGAGTATGTTTCTGTGGAATTTTGTCCGAGTGCAAGACAAAAACTCTGCGGCTTGTTTTCAGTGTAACTGCTCTTAAACGGCTGCTTCCCAGACATCATGCGCACTCGCTCGCTTGTACACTATACGTTGGACACACATGTTGTAGGGTTGGTGTGTGTGTGTGTGCATGTGCTAAAGCCTATGTGTGTGGGCCGGCAGGTTATTATATAAGCTCGTCTTTATTCAGTTCTCCTGATTACAGATGGAAGGCTTTGATCGCTGCCAAGCCTTTCATTGCCTCTGGCCTCCTTCTGAAAGCCTTGTATTAACACAAACTCACATTACCCAGCCTGCCGTCCCTCTTCGTCTTCCTCGCGATCCCTCTCACCCGGAGAAACCGCATTCATCTGCATGTTTTGCCTGTCGGTGTGGGCCGCATGTGTAATTTGCACTTAAAGCAGCCAAACTCTCAGGCAGGCAGACACAACATCTCGTGTACGCAATTACTGCAATAATACGTGTAAAGGTCAGATGACGCGCTCACCTTTACACCTGATCTGAGCCCCCTGTGTAAGTAGGTCAGTGCTTATGTTCGCTCACATTCTTTGCCAGGAAACCTGTCTGAAGGGGACACTTTAGAAACCAGCTCTCCAAGGCTCACCTAAATGTACCAAATGAGTCATTCCTGTAATCGCTGTCTGTGAATATTTCATTTTTCAGAGTTAAAAAGATGATTCAGTTCAGTTCAGTGTCAGTTCTGCAGACTGCACTGAATGTGTACAGTGGCCATCGCTTCACTGGGTTAAACTTTCCGCTAAAGTTTACAGTTTGGAAGTTTTGCATTTCTAGAGAGGACACAAATGCTTTTGGAGAAAAGTACAGCAACAAAAGAGATTGAGATTTATTTACACATAATTGACGTCTGCATTATATTTCCTTGCCACATTAGTAATCCATCCATTCGTGAGGTAAAGTGAAGACAGCGATTGGAGATGCTCATCCTGTTCTGCAACTGAGCGAATGGCCTGTCGAGCTGCACCTCGACTGCTTTACAGAGCAAAACATCCAGTAGTGACTCTCTCACTGTATATTTTTGAGGTTTTTTTCAGTTCACTGTTTAACTTTCTAAGACAGACAATCAACTTCCACACCCACCTGATGTTGTGATTGGCACAGAATAACCCAGAGATTAAACTTCTTTATTTGGGCTCCATTTTCTCATTTATTACACTTTATTTTACTGAACAATTGAATGTAAAACTTTAAATGTCAAATCTGTCTTTTCCCACATGATTAAGCAATGTCATGTCTCCACTCTGTCTATGAAAGTGGCATTAAAAAAACAACAAAAAAGAAAATGCAAATTATGCGTGTTTTCATCAATCTCTATAGAGCGAATAAACTAAGCTGTGTAGGGAAATCAGAGGGAGGCAATATCTGCTGTAATAAAGAGTGGAGGAAGCTGGAAACAAAACAAGTTGTTTGCCAACTGCTACAAAAAGAA